ACTATTGATTTTATAACCTCACTTTCAAAATTTGGGTTCTTATCACAAGATGAGATCAGAGCTCTGTTGCATACTTTTGATAAAAATGGAAATGATTACTTTGGCAACCTTAACACCCCTTGCCAGAGTCAATTCTGACTCTTAGTGACCCTACAGGACAGAGTAGAAACCTTAGCGTTTCCAATGCTGTAATGCTTACGGAAGCAGACTGCCACATCTTTCTCCCTTGGAGCAGCTGGAGGGTTCAAACTACTGACCTTCTGATTAGCAGCCAAGGGCTTAACCACTGTGCCACCAGGGCTCCTTTGCTGTTAAAAATACTCCCTTGGGGCCTTTAGTTTTGCTTAGTTTTGTTTGAAATATGAGTATAAGAAAAAGAGGCCATCACTGTTTTCTGTCTTCAGACAGTGGAATACAAAAGCAAGTTATGAGGTGCCTATAGAACAGAGACCTGCAGTAGTCCAGCTTCTCAGGAATCCAGAAGTTGTACCAAATTTGCATAATGCCTTATCTTTTAAACCTAACCGCAGCCCACACAGACTGCAGGGCTCAGCATGTCATTACATTTAAATATCATCTTATCTCTGTGGACTGTACCTTGGTATTAATGGTAAAGGGGACTTGAAGGTGTCTTGTACAATTTTGTGAGAGATGTCTGCCGTACCCACTGTACTTTGGCCACCCTTATTACAAGTTTATCACACAGCTTGTTTAACATGTTTACTTTTTAAACACTTGGCAAATTAACAGGTGGTTGCATGACTGAGATGTTTGTTTTAACAGGCTAAAAAGTGGGAGGTAATTTAGACACACATTATGATGCAACAGGAAAATACCTAATTATTCCACTTTTGGCTCAGCTTTTAGTTTCAGTTAAAATTGCTGATAGCAGGGCTTAACAGGTTTTGTTTGAGTATGCTCTTACCATTGCCAGCATGAGGGAAACTGGTTCACTGGTAACAATGGCCGTATTTTAGTTACTTGCACATGAAACCTTCTATTTAGCTTTAGTGTTAGTGCAGTTATGATGTGAATACAGAAGGCTCTGAAAGCCCCGTGTCTAAAGCAGTTTCAGTATGCTCTAGAAGCCCACTTGTAATATTCTATCTCTGTACACAGAATACACTGAAAGTAAAACCCTAAAAGCAAGACAGTTAATTGTTATTTTGCCTACTATGTGCATTCTGATAAGTCAGGATATAGGCTATGTTTGGTCTGTGAGCCGTCTCCATTGAGACGATGAAGGAGCAAGGGATTTTGCTCAGTAGTTAGCTGCTTTGAGGTCAGGCAGCTACCCCCCAAAGTAGACAGTGTCAGGAGTAAAGGAACTAGATCAGGAGTCAGCAAACTTTTTCTGTATAGAGCCAGACAGTAAATATTTAAGGATTTGTGCGCCATATACTGTCTCAACTACTCAGCTCTGCTGTTGTAGAGCAAATGCAGCCATAGACAATACACAAACAAATGGGTATGACTATGTTTCAATAAAACTTTATTTACAAAAACAGGCAGTGGGCTGAATTTTGCCTGTGAGCCATAGTTTGCTGGCCTCCATTCTAGATCCCAGGAGATACCACCAGTGGGCTGTGTGACTCTGACCTCAAAGGAAGAACAGCAGTGGTTTTTAGCTAACTGGCCTAACACATATCACCTGCAATATGCATAGCCAAGACTTCACTGTATTTGTGCATAATAAATTTGTTGTCAGAAAAAGGTCATTTCCTCACTGGCTTCTTTTGGGGCTTACCTAAATAGTGTTCTTTACTTGTCGTTTCTACCTCACTTCCTTCCCAAAATGATTTGAAGTAGCTTATAATAAAAGGCATATATAGTTTTTAACTATCAAAATAGAAATATGAAATCATAACCTACATAAAAAGGTCAGGCAAAATAACCTCTGAATATTCCTTATCCACCTGCCAACTGAAGCTGGTAGCCCAGCCATTTCTGGGATAAGTTTGGGACACCTCCTAAGTTGACTGCTGAGACGTTCCCTGTGTTATCTTCTCTAGCATAATTTCCTTTCTGAAAAAAAAATTTCCCAATGTTTTATATTAAGTCTCCTACCAAAGGAAGTGTTAGTATCCATCATTCTTCTTCTGATTGAAGTATAAGCCAAGAACTGTTACACCAACTAAGTGGGTGTATGAAAAGGAAGGAGAAAATTATGAGCTAATGAAAACTTTGGTGGGCAAGGGACCTGTTCAGAACAGATCCCAAGGCTTACAGAGCTAACATTTCATTAGCCAAGGGGACTGTTTGCAATCATCTTAGGGATACATCTTCTACTCTCTGGGGAAAAAGGAGTGTTAAATTACTTTAGAGTTAAATAGTTAGAAGCATGGCTCAGAAATGGTCAGGGGAGATGGGAATTTAGGCTGAGGCACAGGGAAGGATGACTTTGAGTAGATGTCAGTATGTGGAAACAAGGCTGAGAGATTTAAAAGACTGCCACTTGGAATTGTGGCCAAAAATAGTTCTGGAAACTCATCTAAGGGGAATCTGTATGTTTGTACAGATGACTTAATACAAGGTCCTATTTACATACCAAGGAGCTGTGGTGGTGCAAAGGTCAGCACTCCGTTGCTAACAGAAAAGTCAGTGGTTCGAATTCACCAGTGGCTCTGTGGGAGAAAAGACCTGGCAGTCTGCTTCCATAAAAATTAAAACAAAGCAAAAAAAAGCCCAAACGTGTTCCTGTCAAGTCAATTCTGACTGCTCCATAGGGTTTCCAAGGAGCAGCTGGTGGATTCAATCTGCCAACCTTTTGGTTAGCAGCTGTAGCTCTTAACCACTGTGCCACCAGGGCTCCCATAAAGATTAGCCTAGAAGACCCTATGGGGCAGTTCTGCTCTGTCCTGTAGGGTCGCTATGAGTCAGAACCAACTGGACAGCACACAATAACAACAATTTAGATACCAGATCTGACTACTTAGCCAAATGGATGCAGAAGATCATTTAGGATCCAGTCAGGGGGTCTGCTTAGATCTCTGGCATGGAGAAGGTATGATGGCATGCTCATGAGGACACTGGAGTTCCTAGGTAGAAAATACCCCAAGGAAGCGTGGATACCAAGCAGGTTAAGTTTGAAGAGAAAAAACCCAGACACTTGGTAGTTGGAATATCAGAGCAGAGTAGAACCAGAAGTGAGACTAGGTCAGTGTTAAGGAGAAGCAGGCCACATACAGGACAGAGTTTTCAAGATGTGTTAATGGACTAACTCTAAGATGTTAGAAAAAAAAAAAATACAAGAAATAAATTCTATCATCGGCAGCGAGGGAAGTGTAAGTTCGAAATGTTCTAACCTTTAAATGGAAGAGAGAAATTCTTAAGAATTTCCCACTTAAGAAGCTGGATTCCTTTTCTCATTCCCTCTTTGGTGAGAGGGCGAACTGATAGTGTTTGTGGGGAGGGGTCCATTTAGTAGCTATAGGGTTGCTATGAGTCAGAATCGACTTGTTGGCAACTGGTTTGTTTTGGTATCAAGATATTTGGACTCAGACATACCAACGATCATGAAGATGACAGCGTTTCCTTTTGTTATACATAAGGTCACCATGAGTCAGAGCTGACTCAATAGCAACTAAAAACAGCAACATCAAGATAATAAATGTGTATACTATTTGATCCAGCAACTGTACTTCCATAATTTGTTTTTAAGAAAATACACCTTCAGACTGGCAAAGATGTTTGTGCAAGGATTATCATTACATTAAAAAAAAACAAAATGAATTGCAGAAAAAAAGTTCAGATTTCAAAAGTCTGGGGATTTCAGAATCTGTATAAGGGATTGCCGATCTGTATATACAAATAGGGATGTTTGGCACAGATAAATTTTAAAGTGAAAAAAAATAAATTTCAGAAGAATATATATAGAGAGAAGGATCCCCTTTCTTTGAAATAATAATAGTATGTACACACACACACACACATATATATATGCATAGAATACCTGGAACCATGTATAAGTTTGCTCATAGTGGTTATGGGGAATGGTCAGATCACAGTGGATGAGAATCCCAGCACCAAGCTGCTGTTTACGGTCCGCAATAATAATAGAACCTCACACTTCTAACTCATCACAGATACTGGGGAGCAGAGAGTGGGGACTTAAGTACTGCCTGAGCTTTGACTGCAAGGTTTCAGCTTGAGAAGAGCATATCATTAGAAGCAAAAAGAGACTTCTCTTTTTATAACTATATATAGGTTTTATGTGTCATCATTAAGTTATATGGGTAATTCATTAATATGACAAATTGTTATTGCCTGCTCTGTGTGAGACACTGTGTTAGGCGCTGGGGCTATGCCAAAAAACCCAAACACACTGCCATCAAGTCGACTGCAACTCATAGCGACCCTATAGGACAGAGTAGAACTGCCCCATAGGATTTCCAAGGAGTGGCTGGTGGATTTGAACTGTCAACCTTTTGGTTAGCAGCCATAGTTCTTAAAGTCACTGCACCACCAGGGTTCCCCTGGGGCTATAAAAACCAAAACCAAACTTGTTGCCTTAGCAGTGACAAAACAAAGGTGTCATCATACCTGCAGGCTCAAGCAGACAGACTCCAGCTGTAACCAGGAACCCTGAAGGAGGTGCATTGTTTAAATGGATGCATGTCAGCACCCAATTCCCAGCCACAGCAATTGGTGCTACAGTGAAATCAAAAGTGCCCTAAGTGCATATTTTTTTTTTCTTTTCACAATGTTTTCTTTATTTTAGTCTCTAAGATAAGCATTTTATGTAGGTTTTTTTTTTAATGGTGATAGTGTCTTAATTATGAAATATTCCGGGAAAAGATTGCCTGATTGCTTGGTGACAACAACCCACATAACCATCAAGTGATTTTTGTTTTTAATTGCATCCATGTGTCCCAGATTGACACTGTTGCCACTCAGCTTTCAGAAAGAAAAATCGCTAAATAAACAATAAGTTTTCAATGCACACCCACATATATTTTTGCCACCTGTCAACTCAAATGTTTGTTTTTTTTCCTTCACAGAAAAAGCAAAGAACGAAAGATCTTTCTCGGGTATTTCATTCTTATAATCCATATGATCACAAGGTAAGAGAATCATATTATTAGTGTATCGGGTAGTACAAGCCTTTCTGAATGTGTAGCATAATTTTTACCAATATACTGTGATTTTCAGTATACTTGCCAATTATATTTCAATTTTTGTTGACTATTTAAATTTTCAACCCTTTAACCTTTTTAAAGAAACTAGGAAATTTGTATTTTAGAACTAAGATAATTCTGTTTCATTCACATTAAAATTTAGTTACATATTGTCACAGAAATCTCAAAGATTGTGAAAAGATATGTTTTGGGTGGTTTTTTTTGTTTGTTTGTTTGGTTTTTGTTCTTTCTCTCCAAACACTGTAGTAGATGAACTTGGCTTCTAAAAATGGTAGAGGTAATTGAAATATTGACTGCCAACTCTTGGTTCTCCATTGCTCCTGATAGAAAGTTATTTTTTTAAAATAAAAACCCTAACAAAAATCAATGCATAACCTTGTGTCTGAAATATGCATTGCCAAGAGTTTTGCTACAAAAAACACCAAATAATATAATGAACCCCATGTCCCCATCCCACAGCTTTATAAATTCATGGCCAGTCTTATTTCATGTATACCCCACACTCTCCACCCCCTCCCATATTTGAAGATTCCTAACCATCTTTTCATTTATAAGTATTTCACCATATATTTGTACACATTAAGGACTTTTAAAAATGAAATTAAAATAATTATTTTTAAGAAAATCCTTGTCATGGATTGAATTATGACCCCCAAAATATGTGTGTATCAATTTGGCTGGGCCATGATTCCCAGTACTGTGTGGTTGTCCTCCATTTTGTGATTGTAATTTTATGTGAAAAAGGATTAGGGTGGGATTATATAACACCCTTACTAAGGTCATATCCGTGATCCAATGTAAAGGGAGTTTTCCTAGGGTGTGGCCTGCACCACTTCTATCTTATAAGAGATAAAAGGAAAGGGAAGCAAGCAGAGAATTGGGGACCTCATACCACCAAGAAAGCAGTGCCAGGAGCAGAGCGTGTCCTTTGGACCAGAGGTTCCTGCGCAGAGAAATTCCTAGTCCAGGGGAAATTGACGACAGCGAGGACCTTCCTCCAGAGCTGACAGAGAGAGAAAGCCTTCCCCTGGAGGTGATGCCATGAATTTGGACTTGTAGCCTACTAGACTGTGAGAAAATACATTTCTCTTTGTTAAAGCCATCCACTTGTGGTATTTCTGTTATAGCAGCACTAGATGACTAAGACAATCCTTAACATGACATCTTAATGGGAAAATATATTCAGAGATTTCTGAGACTTGTACAAAACTTCTCTGCCTTATAAGGTTCCAGTAAATCTGTCAGTTTGAGGTGATTTCAGAAGCAAACAAAAAATTTACACAGTTGAAATGCTAATATAAACTTAGATCTTTATCTATGAATTTACAGGGAGACATGTGGTAGGGATTTTTTAAGTAGCCAAAATAAGTACTGTGAAAGCAACTTTCCTCAGTTGAAAACTCAGAGATGTCTGGATTCAGGAGGAAAAAAAATTGTGCCAGTTGTTCATAGAAGTTGCAAGAATTTGAATAGCTGCTAGTGTTTCAATAGTGACTAGTTGCCTTAAGCGCCAAAAATTTGTAAAGAGAGGTGCTTATGCTTCACGTGACCCTGGCAATATACAATACTAAAAATTATATCATTCCAACTTACATTCTTCAAGTTAAATCAGTCACTTTGCAGAATATGGCAGTTTGTTTGAAAGAGGCTGTGAGAGCCTGTAGTGTCTGACAATGCAGACATAAGGTACAGGCTGATAACAACAGCAAAAGAAATGAGATTGGCCCAATTTCCCAGGGCAGTGTTGCACTTTTTTTAGATGAAGCCATTTTAATTAACATAAATTCAACAGTGGATAAGGTTAACATTTAACAACTACACTAAAAAGTCTAGGACAAATCAAAGGTTTTGCCTGACTTGTCTAAATTTTGCCTACTTCTGACATTTTTTTTATTCACAGTTAAGGGAAATTCCATTATGCTTTTATTAGAACTCTTAATGGAACTTAGCCATTTGCAGCTTCTACTGGCTTCCTCTTCATATCCTTTGTGGCATTGTATCAAAGTCACCTCAAATTATTTTGGCTTCCCTTGTGAAGACTTCATTCCTCTACAAATTAGTCATCAGGCAGTGAGGAATTGAATGTAAGTGCTGGATGGTGTTTCTTTTGATGTTGGCTTTAAGATCAGTACTAAATTATTATAAGTAGCTGGACTGCTTGATGACTGATTTTTGAACCTCCAAAGATTTGGCCTGTTGGCATCTTTTTTTATTCTGTATGTGTGTTTTGAAGGAAAACAGAGAAGTTTCATTCTAGGCGGCTCTGTGCCCCTTAGTAGCATCCTCCCATTTTTCAATGCTGTAACAAGCCAATTCTAACCACGTCACTTTCAACCTCGTCTCCTGCTGATTCCAGTGTCCACAAAGACTAGAACCATGAGGGGTTGGATAATGGGAATTATTTTCTCACTCTTAGAAAGTTGCTTTTGTTTTACACAAATAAAATAACAGAGGGCTGTATTTCAAATTATTTTTTAATTATCCAATTATATTCAAACGAATTAGTATTTTAGGCAGATAGGTTCTAGTGTAAAATTCTACAAAATGTGGTTGAAATTGGTTAAACATCTCATGCTCAGTGAAATTTCTGGAGTGATCTATAGGAATTTAGAAATTTCACTGAGCATGAGATGTTTAAACCAATTTCAACCACATGTGTATATTTGGAGCCCTGGTGGCACAACGGTTAAGTGCTCGGCTGCTAACCAAAAGGTTGGCAGTTTTAACCCACCCAGTGGCTCCATGGGAGAAAAACCTGGTGATCTGCTCCCATAAAGATTATAGCCCAGAAGACCCTATGGGGCAGTTCTGCTGCCACATGGGTTTGCTGTGACTCGAAATCAACTCCATGGCATTTAACAACAACAATCTCTGTATACAGCTATGCACAGCATACTGTCTGTTCAGGCAACGTCCGCATATACATCCGTGGTCCCATAAGTTTTTTGTTTTTTTTTTTAAGGGAAAGCATCTCTGCTTTTATTATTTTCCCCTAATGGTTTTAAAGACCCCGAACCCCCAGAATGAATGAGCAGCGGGTCTCCAGGTCACATCTCTATCCCCACACCCTTCTCCTCCTGGCTTCATTCCCTCGCCTAACAGCCGTTCATTCCCCATGCAGGGCAGCACTTGCCAAGGCTCCTCCCGCTCCTGTTATGGTTTCTGGTAGGGACTCCAGCGGCCACGGCACTAGCAGGCTCCCAGCTTCAGGCCGCGGCAGCGGCTTCACAAGATCAGGAAGCGGCCGCACCACCACCGCCAGCTATGCTGCCAGCACCCGCACACCCCTTACCCACCTGGTTCCTGAGGCCACCTAACCGCACCGCCCACCCTCCACCCCCGCCCCCTGCCCTGTGCCCGAACGTGCACAAAGTCCCAATTCATCTGGTAGCTCAACCTCCGCCCGGCCCACAGCCACACACCTGGCAAGACTGGCCTCCGTATCCAGTCTGGCATGCAGGCAGTGGTGGGGGCCGCAGGGTGGGGCTACTCCTGCTCCTCAGGCCTGAGGAACAGTGGAGTGGGGTGAGGGTCGGGGGGATGATGGGGACTGCCTGTGTAAATATGGTGTTCGTACAATGTCCAAATCACATGAAATCCTATTGCACAGAATGTATCATGGGTGTTAAGCAATACATGACTGTATATTAAAAAACAAAACAAAACCAGTTGCCATAGAGTTGATTCCAACTCATGGCAACCCCCTGTGTGTCAGAGTAGGACTGTGCTCCATAGGGTTTTCAACCGCTGATTTTTTGGAAGTAGATCACCAGGCTTTTCTTCGGAAATGCACCTGGTGGAATCCAAGCTCCATCCTTTCGGTTAGCTGAGCATATTAACCGTTTGCACCACCCAGGGTCTGTCTGTCCCTTTTTCTCTCTTTCTCTAAATATATCATATGTATCTCTGTGATATATATTGGATGATATAGATTGAATTATTGGCAGAACTGTGGAGAGCGACACACATTCAAAGGGGCCTATTCGGCCGCCATCTTGAGTAGCGCACTATTGTTTCTGACTGCTCAAGATCCTAAGGGCAGGAAATTTGGTTGCTATGCAACATATACGCTGCCTTTGTTTTGTAAGAGGGAGATTAGGTTTCTAGCAGGGCTTCTAAACGTAGTTTTTCCCGTTCTGTTTATCGTTCTGGTTCACCCAAATTTTAAAATTTTGGATCTTTTCCAATTTCGCTTCCTCAGCCATGACTGAATTGGGAAGAACAGGTGGGAAGCCCCGGTTTGTGGGGCTTCACTATTCTATTATGTAAATTTTTTTCTATGATTGAAATTTTCCATAATAAAAAATATGGAAAAATAAAATAAGCTGTGGTCGGCTCCTGGGAATAAGGTTGTGGCAGTCTTTTTCTTGCTAGCTAAATTCCTTGTATTGTTAATTTTTCCCTTGATGTAAGTTTGTACCAAAGAAGCGATGCTCAGCATTTCAGTGGGTTCATTATGCTGAGTAAACGCAGAAATACAACTCCTATTCTAAAGTTGGCATAATTTCCTAGGGATTTCATCGCAAATTATAGTGGGCCCCTTAAATGATAGCCTAGCCTTCTAGAAACTGTTAAAACAGTTGTAATTACAAAAGTTAGTACAGCCATTTTGTTCTCAGTGAGTCAGTTAGATTTGTTTTTTGCTCTCCTTTTCTCCCTCAAACAAGATTGCTCCTGCCTGACCCCAAACACAGGAAAGTCACCAGGTTAAACAAACTTGTTCTTTGAGTGAGACCAGGTGCATTTCTTAATCATACCCTGAAGCCATTGTTTAGGTTGTAAATGGTCAGTTGGTTTTCTCTTAAGTGCTGTTGCAAAACACAAATAAAGCTTAGAGCGAAATTTGCATCCAAAATGAGTCTTAAGGAAAATGTTATTAGTTGCTGTCAAGTCACCCCCATGTACAATAGGACAAAATGTTGCAC